ATATGTATACCGGTTTTATTAGCGAATAGGTCTACAACCTATGTCGATACTTTTTAATATTGTGTCGGTACTTTATGTCCAGAATGGAAGAAAAATATGTCGATACCTTGTCAAAAAGTGTCGACATTTACACATCGGAACCCAGAATTATAATGTAATAGATAATTTTGTAATATAACCGGTATAAATATACCGGTTTTATGAGCGAATAGCTCTACAACCTATATCGACACTTTTTAATATTGTGTCGGTACTTTATGTCCAGAATGGAAGAAAAATGTGTCGATACTCTGTCAAAAAGTATCGACATTTACACATTGGAACCCAAAATTATAATGTAATAGATAATTTTGTAATATAACCGGTATAAATATACCGATTTTATGAGCGAATAGGTCTACAACCTATATCAACACTTTTTAATTTTGTGTCGGTACTTTATGTCCAGAATTATAATGTACTATATAAGTTTGTAATATAACCGGTATAGGTATACCGGTTTTATTAGCGAATAGGTCTACAACCTATGTCGACACTTTTTAATATTGTGTCGGTACTTTATGTCCAGAATGGAAGAAAAATGTGTCGATACCTTGTCAAAAAGTGTCGACATTTACACATCGGAACCTAGAATTATAATGTAATAGATAATTTTGTAATATAACCGATATAAATATACCGGTTTTATGAGCGAATAGGTCTACAACCTATATCGACATTTTTTAATATTGTGTCGCTAATTTTAAGTAACACGGTTTTTCTTCCTTCATTCAAAATATTTATATGTACATGTTTCTTATACACAATAAGAGTCATGTTGATACTTACGATATATGGAGATCGTTGTCATTTCATTCCGTCTTCGAAAAAATCAGTTGATGTAGGATGTGTGCTTGTACTCAAACTGAGCTTGACTTTAGGACATGTTAGTTTGTTATGTCCCTCACCGTTGCAGTACCCACATCGCCTAATTTTCTTCTCGACCTTGTTCTTCGGCACTTCTTTTCGCTTGCGTTGTTTTCGTTGAGGGTCACGAACGTCGTTTACTACAATGCTCTGGTTGACTGAATCATTCAAACCAAACGAGTTTTCTAATTCTTCTATTAGTTTTTTCATCTCATCTCTTGCGGTTTTGAAAGACTCGTCTGTCTTTGATGCAATGTAGCATAACCTACTTGACGTTGAACGTAGAGCAGCGAACCTTGCCATTTGCATCACTTCTGGAGACACATTCAAATCAACATAACTGGGTGCAGAAGCCTTCGCATCATTAGTCCACCTACTTTGAATCAAAGTCTCGGGCAAATATGTGTAGTCCAAGTGCTTCAAAATGTGAAGTTGATGGCGACACGGAAGTCCAACGGTCTCGAATTTTTTGGAGGAGCAAATTAGAGTTTTCGTACGAGAATCAAAACTAATTTCAAATTTCCTATTTTTTTCTGCGTACTTTGACAAAATATAATGTTGACATTCATCTGATAAGGACTTAATCTCTGCCTCAATCCGGTACAATGTCTCTCGTATAAGTTTATCTTGGAACACACGAAAAGATTCGCGGGTAAAAATCGCAGCGGCATGGCTTTCAAGGTCGACCAGTTTTGTGATCTGGAAGGGCTTCGTATGGGAACTTAAGTAATCCGCTTTCAACTCGTTCATACGCATTCTACGAATTCCATCTTCAATTGCACGAACAACATCTAAATGTGTCTTCTTGTGTTTCAGTGCAATAGCTAGTGAAGCATTCATAGACTCGCACCTTTGTGTTAAGCGAATATTGGTAAAGAAATGACCGGTTAGATATGCTTGTGCCCATAAGTGTCGTGTATTTCCCTTCTCAATCACCCATGGATGCTTTTGGACGTTGAATTCTGAAACAACCGAACGCCATTGAATATCAAATTCCTTGGTTGTCTACCAGGAAGCCATGCATTTTGAGAATGCTGCTGTAAACTTTGGGTCACCAATGTTAGCTTGTGCATTGCAAGAAAGATGCCAAGAACATAATCTGTGCTTAGCATAAGGGATAACAGATTTGATAGCCCTCTGCATTGCCCTATCCCCATCGGTGACAACTAAAATAGGTGATTTATTCATCATGGCTTCTAAAAAATTCTGTAGCACCCACTCGAAAGATTGAGACGTCTCGTCAGCGATTATGGCAGTGGCAAACACAATTGTGTTATGGTGATGATTGACACCAACAATAGGCATAATTGGTCGACCATACAAATTATCTTTGTATGTTGTGTCGAATGCAATTACATCACCGAAGCATGTGTAATCCGATCTCGATGTAGAATCCGACCAAATAAGATTATACAATGCCCCCGATTCGTCTACCGAGTATGTCATAAAAAACCCGGGATCATCATGTTTCTTATAATCAAAGTAGGTAATAAGCGCATTCACATCCCCATCGACGATTTACTTTGCTTTACCTCTTTGAAGTGCATTGTAGAGGTCTTTATGTGTAAATCCAACATTATGATAGCCCCCTGTCTGCTGCGTTAAATAGTTCATTACTTGTGACGTGCCAACACGACCTCTTTCAATGTTGTTGCCTCATCGATATCAGCCTTACTTACAGCTCTATTAGAACGCATAAATGGTGTCATAGCAGGTGTGCACAATGCATGATTATGTTTCTGATCAGACTTACTTATAACCCACTGATCGTTTGTATTTGTTGCTGTAACTACAACTCTAGCCTTAAATCCTGTTCTTGTGACTGGCGTATGAGCACGTTGACGATCAACAGTATTGACTTTTGATACTCGAAACCCTTCTTTGGAACAACAAAATTCTTGTGTCTTCACATTCCCTTCCACGTCAAGCCGTGTTGTTCCCTTACGTGCACTAAACCCATGTTCCCGTGCGAATCCCTTGTAAAAGTACCAAGCTTGATCACGTGAACAGAAGAGTTGACCAACCAATCTGTCAGATTCATCAACATTATGTACTTCATGGCATTCCTCGGTCGGCTTAACATTGTCTACATCAGTATTATCCATGGCAAAAATTTTATTGTGCAAGTTCAGTGGTCCAGGAGTTGATGGAGATGTAAGCAAAGGTTCATTTTGAACATGTTTCAGTCGTGCTGCTTTCAATAGGATGTGGTATTGGTAGTGGTAGTTAAAGGGTGGGTACATATTAAATTCGCAGTACATATTTAGGTATGTACAATAACTACAAGTATCGACCCAAAAAGCATCAAAACCAATAATTATAATGTAATAGGTAAATTAACAATGTAACAAGTATCGATCCAAACGAGGTGCACACATAATATATTAGGCCAACATAAAGTATCGACACTTATTAAAAGTATCGATCCCGAAAATATCGAAACCAATAATTATAATGTATTAGGTAAATTTACAATGTAACCGATATAAATATACATGTTTTATGCTAAAATAGGTCAGAATATAGTATCGACACTTGTTAAAGTTGTGTCGATACTTACGGTCTAGAATGAATGCCAAAAAAGGTGTACCCTTAAAGTGTCGATACATTTATTAAAAAAGTATCGATCCCTAAAACAACCCATAAGTATAATGTTCAACGAAACCGGTATAATTATATCGGTTTTATGAGAGAATAGATCTAAATCATGTATCAACACTTTTTTAGTTTGTGTCGATATTTTTGTCCAGAATGAAATATTAAAACTAACGAGGTGCAAGCATAAAGTGTCGATATTTACGGTCTAGAATGAATGCCAAAAAGGTGTACCCTTAAAAAGTGTCGATACATTTATTAAAAAATATCGATCCCTAAAACATCGAAACCCATAAGTATAATGTAATAGGTAAATGGTCAATGAAACCGGTATAATTATACCGGTTTTATGAGAGAATATGTCTAAATCATGTATCGACACTTTTTTAGTTTGTGTCGATATTTTTGTCCAGAATGAAATATTAATGCCCAACGAGGTGCAAGCATAAAGTGTCGATACTTTTATAAAAAGTTTCGACACTTTATGAAATATCGAAACCGATAATTATAATGTAATAGGTAAATTTGCAATGTTACCGGTATAAATATAACGATTTACTTATAAAATAGATCAATATAAGTGCTACCTATTACATTATATAAACGCTACCTAATATGTTATTATATTTAATAATATTTCTCGTTAAATACTTATTTTATTATATAAGCGCTATCTATTACATTATATAAGCGTTACCTAATATGTTATTGTACTTGATAATATTTCCGGTTAAATAATATAACATAATCGGTCTAAATTTTAACCGATCACTTATTTAACCGGTCATACTTTATATTAACCGTTTTTTAAGTGTCGTACCGCAGAACTACCCTAAGCTTTGAGCTCTGAAACATATAAATAAACTCAACATTGTCTATCTGACGATGGAGGACAGTCAAATTTCTTCCTTGTGAACTCATTACTTCATGGGAGACAGCTGTCCTCCTCCATCCACTGCTGAAAACAACAGAATTGAACACTGTGAAGCTTGCGCTGCATCAAATGATTTCGCACTTCTTATAGAGCGTAATGCACAGTCCCAGGTCCGGGGTGAACAGAAAGCTAATAATTAATGTTTCAGCCATGGCAAAATCAGTCGTCGGCTTGCTATTTGTTTAAACATCCCAGTGAACAAACCGAGTCATTGATTGTGTTGGAATTCACAAGGTCCCCACTTCAAATTTCCCAAATCTCAAGAATGAAACAAACTTTGATACTGCTTTCCTTTCACTCTATTCTCGTTGGAAATCAGAGGGTTTAGAATCAGTCAAACGCACACACATGTACGTCCCGGATTTAACATGGAGAATGTTCATATCTTTTGCTTAAAAGTAGCAGCAGAACCAATAATTGCATCTTTTTCTTTTTGCCTTTTAAGACTACAACAGGAAAAAAAAATCCTTATTTATAGAGGCCAAACCCCAAGATTTTCTTTCATAAATAAACTACTACTTTTCGCCTTGATTTCTAGGTAGAGGATGTATTTTGCTAAGAGAACGGTGGTTTTCGTTTTGATGCTGGCTTTCTTCGGAGTCTCTTTCGGCGCGGTTCACAAAGTGGGCGACTCCACTGGCTGGACTAGTCTCGGAAATATTGATTACCTCAAATGGGCTTCCACCAAGACCTTCCATGTAGGCGACTCTCTTCGTAAGTACCTTTTTTTCTCTCCTATCTTTTGCTACCAATTAGCAAATCCACTAATGGGTTTACTTTAATGCAGTTTTCAAGTACAACCCACAATTCCACAACGTGATGCAAGTGACCTACAATGATTACCAGTCGTGCAACGCAACGTCGTCAATCGCCTCCTACACCTCCGGATCTGACTCAGTGACCCTCAAAAGGCCCGGCCACCTTTATTTTCTTTGCGGCGTCCCGGGACACTGCCAAGCCGGACAGAAAGTCGATGTGTTGGCTAAACCGTCGTCCAAAGGCCCAACCGCAAGTCCTAGCCCGTCTACATTGGGTTCGTCTCCAGCAAACTCACCTTCAGAAATGGTGAGTGCACCTGGCCCGGCTCAAAGCAGTGCCTTGTCTCTCCTCTCCTCCAGGGTTTCGAGTATCGTCACAGTTTGTATCGTCGGTTTGGCCTTCTACTTCTAAGCGGACAGTCCTTATGAGTTATATTTGTGTTTAAAGTAAAGACTACAGTGGAACGGCTTTATCATTTTAGGTCATATGGTATAAACGGCTTTGCTTGGTTTCCAGATGAAATTAATGTTTAATTTTTTAAAAATTAATATCCATATTAATATATGTGTCATGCATGAAAATTTAGTCCCCCAAATTAATGTTTAATATGCATTGTTTGCCCCGGACTTCGCTACTACTTTTGTAAAACCCTCCCCCAAGAGCCACCTATTTTTGAACTTGAACCATTTAGTCCCGTGAGTAGGGGAAAAAGCTACAATTAGCTTGGTCGGGTTATGATCTGAAACACCATTAGTCAAATTATGCAGATTATAAAAAAAGGGAGAAAAATAAACTCAGTCCATCTCTGAGTGATAGTCCCTAGCCGTTCCATACTATATAAAGTTAATCCCCCGACCCTTTTCTCATATAAACTTGAAACCAGTTAAGAGACATCAATAAAATCAGTCATAAACACATCGTCTAAAATCATCTAACCAACCTCAGTTAATATTATTATACCTCCGAAAATCTCATATCTCCATCAAACAAAACCCGCAATAACTGGCAGCTCTGTCAATTAAAATTTTCACACCTTTCTAGAGTCTCCGACTAATCTACGCTCTTTATCTAAACGTAATCTAAGTTTTAACGACCAAATTTGTCTATTGTTAGTCTACAAATATTATAATGATCTATAACACACACGCACTAAAAATCACTATAAATACATTCAACTAACACCGAACAAGGGGCAAACCTCCTACATTTTACTCTCTATCTTCATTTTCTTATTCATGATCACTTCTCTCATATAAAAAAATACTGACCAATGGTCATTCACTCAATGAGTGTAACTCTTCGTTTAGAAAAAGTGAATTCCTGACGATCGATGAAATAAATTTGTTTCCATCAACAAACATATATATATATATATATATATATATATAATTTTACCTTTTCACTTTATAGTTTGGTTTTCTCTCCGTTTTGCACTATCAAAGTTTCTTATAAAAAGAACTTCTATTTAGAATTTATATATTCTATGCACAAACATATGGCTTTATGCCAGGCATGTCTACTACGGAGGCAATTCATCTACTTCGACGGCTTATAGAGAAATATAGGGGAAAAATAGAGATCTTCACATGGCATTCATTGACCTTGAGAAGGCGTATGATAGCGTACCCCGCAATATGATCTGGAAGACCTTGGAAACGAGACGGATCCCAACTGCTTATATCCGGGCGATTCGTGATATGTACTGTAGATCTACTACATACGTCAAGACTACAGTTGGCGACACCGAGGCATTCTCGGTGGAAATCAGATTCCACCAGGGGTCGGCTCTTAGCCCTTACATCTTCGCCTTGATTATGGACGACATCTATTGGGTGACACCTGACAGTGTTCCATGGTGTATGCTTTTCGCTGACGACATTGTCCTAGTTGCTGAAACAAAAAATGAGCTGAATAGTAGACTGACTACCTAGAAGACTACTTTGGAAGAAAAAGGTCTAAGGATCAATATTAAAAAGACAGAGTATTTATGTTCAAACTACAGTGGGAACCAAAACGATGAAGATGTAGAAGTATGCATCGAAGGGCACGTTCTCCCCTCAAAGGATTGTTTCAAGTACCTAGGTTCTATGATACATAAAGATGGGGGTGTAGATGATGACGTTTCACACCGTATAAAGGCAGGATGGCTAAAGTGGAGGGCTGCTACTGGAATCTTGTGTAACAAGAAGGTGCCTCTAAAACTTAAGGGAAAATTTTATAGAATGACAATAGGACCAACACTGTTGTATGGATCAAAATGTTGGGCAATCAAGAAGGATCATGTAAGGAGGATGGAGGCCGCAAAAATGAGAATGCTTCGATGGACATGTGGTAGGACTCTGTGGGACATGACACCAAATACTGCAATTAGGATGTCCTTGGGGATGGTGCCTGTATCCGAAAAATTGAGGGGGGGAAGACTACGGTGGTTTGTGCATGTCCTTAGGCGACAACCGTCGGATGCGGTCAGGAGGGTATAGTTGATTACAGTCGACGGTGCCAGAAGAAGAGGATGACCAATGAGGAAGTGGGTAGACTGCTTGAGATCTGATTTGAAGGATTTAGCCATTACCGAGGACATGACCTCTGATAGGAAAGTATGGAGACTTAAGACCAAGGTAGCCGAGTAGTGTGGGTCACAGCCATAGGGTGTAGCATCTCTGTCTTCTTTTTAATTGCCTTTGTAGTAATTTCCATTGACCTGTACTTTTTATACGTTTTGTCATTGGATTTTATGAAGGCTTAGAACTAGGGTAGTGGAGTAGTGTTGTCTTAGTTTAGGTTTTAACCCATTTGACTTTATTCATTATCGTAGTTTGCTATCGATGACTTCTGTGTATCCTTCTCTACATATAAAGACTGTTCAACTATGTATTTATTTATTTATACATGCATTGTATTTTATCTTTATTTTTAATTTTGTGACTGTCGGAGACCTTACACGGAAGCTGCTCTTAACTTGGCGTTGGGAGCAGCCTACTACCCTACTTTTCCTTACCCATTGCATATGGGAATAGGGTTTTGTTGTTGTTGTATCAGTGAATTAGGTTGCAGCACATAATTACAAGTTTGCAAAAATAAAAATTTGTTTTGAGTGATTAGGAATGAAAACTGGTTATGGGGATGGTTTTTATCAAATTCGTTTCGTAATATTCTTCTCGTCCGAATCCTATCTGTTTTGAAACCTATACTTGACTTCCAAAAAAGGAGAATACATTCGGCATCAAATTCAAACTAACGAAAACCAGGCTCATCCTGCCCTTAACTCATTTTCGAGAACAATAACCCACCCCTTTGAGATGGAATACAATCAGAAACGATGGATTCGAATTATTTACCATTCTTTTTTAGTGAACCCCACACCCTAAACAAGTCGGGTCGCTAACTGCTATTTTTGTTTATGTTCCTACCCACTGTCAAGAGGGCCTGAAAGTTTATATTATGGGTCACACGCAATCTACTATAGGCCCAATGCCTAGTATAAGCCCATCCTTTATAGTCCATTGCCTACAAATCAACGGTAGAAGATTTTAGGATAAAGTATACAAATGATCTCCCGACTCTAAAACACTGCTTTGTTGAGTCTCTCTGACTATTAAAAGTTACAAAATGGTTCTTAGATTATAGGATATTGTTTTGTTAAATCCCTTGACTATCAAAAGTTACAAAATGGTCACATATGTTCCGAACTTGTTATTCTTTTTAAAAAATTGATGGCCATATGAGCTCCTTACTGAATATGATAAAATCATATTTTAATGATGTATATTGTCTTTGTCGTTGTTGTCAAACACTGGCTCACCGGCATAATGTTTCAAACACTGCTTAACGAAATAATGTAAACAGAGGGTGCATCCATAAAGTTCATCTCAAACAGTTATGAGATCATATTTTATCATATTTCAATCAATAAGTTAACGTCTAGTTCAGACAATCGTCAAATTTTTAACAAAAAAAATTAGTTTAGAACATATGAATAGACAAATGGTCCTTTTGTGACTTTTAATAGTCGGGGACTCAACAAAGTATCACTCTATAGTCGATGGGCCATTTTGTAACTTTAATAGTTGAAGGACTGAACAAAGCAACACCCTATAATTGAGTGACCATTTGTGTACTTTACCCTGGATTTTAATTGCTAGTTCAGTTGATAGAATTGCTCCATCTCTCCTTCCTCGCACGTTGAGTCCGTTGTCTTTCTTTTTTTTTGGGGGAGGGGGGGGGGGCTTCTCCAACCATTGCAATGTGGGCGGAAGGTTGAATCTCCCCGGTCCACCTAATTCAACAAACATTGCAGCTGGGAATCTGGATCCTACCGCTGTTAAATTGTACAAATGGCGTTTCATTACTCCAGAATTTCTTTGTCAAACTGTTACCAAATTCAAGCTATTGCAGTTCTCGCGTATCTTAGTTTATTGTCGTTGAGACAAGTAGAGAAGAAGAATAAAGGGTAGCTTTTCTCATTAATATTCGTACATTAAACTCTTCTCTATCGAAGATTTGATTTGTCCAGCTATTACGCCATGCATTATGGTTAGAGTTGGGTTAATGCTTTTTACGATTTGTGTTAATGTGAAATAACAAAAGAATATCGAAGAATGCACCTCTTTGTTATTAGTTATTATTTAAGCGTGGAATTAGAATGGATGAGATAATTGCAAGTTGCAGCATGGGACCAATGTTGATAAAGCGAGAGGAAATCATTTTTCAACGGTTTTGCCTGAGAAATTAACGGTGCATGGTGGGACAAACTTCCCAACAAAATCATTTCCGATTCCTCCACCTTCAACAACTTGATTTGAATCGATGGAATTTGATCGATAAATAAATAAAACGTTTGAATTTTTTTATAGATAGTATATGTTTAATATTTTTCTTTGTTTGTCGACAATATATACATGCTACATGCTTTAGAGACACAATTATTTGAACCCGAATCATTTGAAGAAAATAATATTCTCTTTTGTTATTAAAAACACTATTACAAACATAAAAAAAAAGTTTTATATTTACTGCAGGAGACAGTGAAGGTGTCTTCCCCAATTAGATGTGGGTGTAATGTACCCAACATAATTTCCAAAACCACATTGTTTTATTAAACATCCGTTTCATGCTGTTGGGGGCATTTATTATTATTGTTAGATAAGCTTTTACTTATATAGATAAGAATAAATGTCCTTGATGATTAAACTATAGACTTTTAAATTTCAAAGTTTTGAAATTAATCTGTACTAACTCATTAATTTCTCTATCGTATGATGTTTATCATCAACTTTGTTCGTCTTTATTGATTTATCATTGTTTTGGTCTAATGTTCTTTTCCCCTATCTAATCGTTGAATAGCTTGTCCCCAAAAAAAATTGTTGGATAGATGAGTAAAATTTTAGCATCATTTAATAAGGAATACTATTGTACTGTTGGCATTGTCGGGTCAGAAAGCTGGAACATTACTTTCTTTATAGTGTTCGACATAAACTCCTTGAAGACCACAGTTTCATTAAGGAAATACTTGAACTAAAAAAATCCTTAAAACTGTGTTTTTTT